TAGCTACATGCTTATGAAAATTAACAGACTTTGTGACACGTAAAAATAATGGCGTTTCTATTATGAAGATATATGATGAAGTAATAATATATTTAGAAGCTTCATGTTTTTATCATTTTACCCCACTTAATTAAGTCCTCCAGTGGTACATCGATAAGTTTACGGAGTTACAACGCTAAAATCCGGGGTTCGATTCTTCGCGATGAACAGAGCAGATAGCCAAACGTGGCTTTGCTCTGAAACCAACAAAAATAGTTTCAACCGATTGTAAATACCACCACGAACTGAAAGAAATATGTTAATGTGATACTAAATGTTAGCAATAAAAACACAATTAAATAAAACTAAGTTGCAAACTAAATTTTATCACGAAACTTATTGATTCAATTATTCACTACGCATAGCTGTTGCTTACACATATTTTTTTTTCAAACGTATTTTATGTAAGGAAGTTGTATTGTAGACATAAAGCATATAGTTTATCTTGATAAAGATATCCATTTCGTGCATGAAAGGAAATGCTTTTTATATTTCAAAATGAATATTATTTTAAAAGTCTAAAAACCTGTGTTGCGTACCTCCATGGTTTGGTTTGTTTTTTAATTTCGCTCAAAGCTACACGAGGGCTATCTGCGCTAGTCGTCCCTCAGTTAGCAGTGTAAGACTAGAGGGAAGGCAGCTAGTCATCACCACCCACCGCCAGCTCTTGGGCTACTCTTTTACCAACGAATAGTGGGATTGGCCCGTCATATTATAGCGCCCTCAAGGCTAAAAGGGCGAGCATGTTCGGTGGGGCGGAGATTCGAACCCGCGACCCTCAGATTGCGAGTCGAGCGCCCTAAGCCATGCCGGACCAGGTATCCCAAGGATTTCACTATTCAACCTTGTCGTTAAAGTTCAATTAAATTGAGAAAAAAATGCATCTTGTGTAAGCAAAGCTAAAAAAACAAACAAAATGTTTATCCAAGCAATTAGGGTAAAAACAGTAAGTACTTGATAAACAATGTATTTATGTTGGTTTTGTTTTCAGTTTTTATATTGTGCTGTAGTATCTGAAAAATCTTTCTGTAAGTTCGGAGTAAAATTATAATCCACCTACCAATAGATCGTGTTCTGAACATAAGGAAAACACACTTAGACCACGAATTTTATCGACTTTGTTCTACTATGAATACGAACTTATGATTAATTGCGAAATATCAGTGATGGTAGCCAGGTCCAGTGGTGAAGTAACATAACATAGCTTTCGTTCGTGGTATAAGGCCAGGTGGTTAAGGCACTCGACTCGCAATCTGAGGGTCGCTGGTTCGAATCCCTGTCACACCAAACATGCTCGCCCTTCTAGCCGTGGGGGCGTTATAATGTGACGGTCAATCCCACTATTCGTTGGTAAAAGAGTAGCCCAAGAGTTGGCGGTGGGTGGTGATGACTAGCTGCTTTCCCTCTATTCTTACACTGCTAAATTAGGGACGGCTAGCGCAGATAACCCTCGTGTAGCTTTGCGAGAAATTCAAAACAAACAATCGTGGTATAAGGCGATGAATGTGTATCCCCTAATTTTTTAAAATAATCTTATAATGATTTATTTTTGACATTGATCCACATAACAGTTGTTGGATTACGCTTGCGCTATTATTTATACTAAAATTGCTTGCGTTCAATCAAGAGCAAGACAATAAAAAAAAGAGGGGAAATAAGATGTCAACTGCATGAATCAAGCACGAAAAATCATTTGTTATATTTGATTTTCCAATCACGTATAAGGTTTAAGGCCGCACGGAGAATCTATCGATTAGTGACCACTGGTAGTCCTTCCAAGCTTAACGGTAACTGTAGAAGAAGGATTGTTGTTTATTGTATTTCTCCAAACATCGAATTATTATGTAACGTTACGTTTATTTATGCGTGACTGATTGTAAAATGTAAAGTTCATTGACGCTGTAAGTTTTTTTATATACAATCAAAAAATACTTTTGTG